CTAACATAACTGAGTCAAAATTTTTAAACACAACAAAGGAAAAGAAAGAAAAAGTAAAACAAACAACAATCTTCATCAACTTCTACATCATCATCATCATTGCCCAAATCTATGTCCTCATCCATCTCAAAAGGTCAATATGGTGTGAAAGTAGGGCAAGCAGGAAATTCCATAGAATGATCACCTCCCGTGTATCTCCTCATAGCCGCATTATAAGCAAAATCATACTTAATATTCCTTATCATAATATCATCATTATGATACAAATGAGATTCAACCCCTTTCACTTGATTATGTAGATTTATGATATCTCCTTGTTAAATCATCATTTGTTCCATAAGAGAATGCAAATAAATAGTGTCAAAAGCAGATGGTCTAGGACCAGGAGCAGGTGCAGAAGTAGAAGCTGAAGTAGAAGACATGTTAACTCCACTCCTATGTTTAGTCCCAAAATGTCTCTCATATTTTTCCAAATTCATTTTTCCAATGGGTTTATGAGATGGTAAAGTTTCTTCCCAAGTCTCATACTTCACTCCAGAACCAGTACACAAAGCAGTAATAAGAGAAGGGTAGCCCAAACCTTATGTATTTCCTCCTCTCGAAGAAACAAGCATGTTGGTATAAATGAGGAGGCTAATGTCAATTTGTTTCTTCATCTGAATACAATAGTTTAAAGTGGCTCTCTCACGAGTTACCTCACTAAAATGGTTGGTAGCTAGTAATCTACCAGAGATGAAATAGTGTCAGGCTCGAGAATGAACAATAAGTTTTTAAAAATAAAAGTTCACTTGTCGCCCATTGTTAATTTTCCAAACTCCATTTCCATCAATAAAAAAATTCTATTATCTCATCTAATTCAGCTTCAATAGGATGGAACTAAGAAAAAAAGCAGGTAGGAACACTATGCAGTTGGTATATATGATTAATTCAAACAGAACTACTATCCACATATTTCCCGCGCACAAAACTAAATCATCTGATTCATCCGGCAAGTTGACATAAAATTCACGAACAACAGAAATCACAAAAACGATAGTGAAATAGTAAAAGTTTTGTTACTGTTGCTCCGCAATTAAGTAAATAGTTTCACAAGGACATATAAAACTTAAGCTTATTTTTACTCGTATTTTAACCCAACCCGCACTTACGCATATTTTTAATCTATTTAATTACGCCAAAAAATATATCTCAATTTATATCTAGCAGCTAGTGTGGAAACTTGCAATGATTTATAAATTATATAATAGATTTTCACACTAGGGGTTCTATGTAAGTATACGTATCGTTTCAAGTAATATAGAGGTTTATTTAAAAACCCCAATATCTATCCCACGAGGAATGCAGAAACTCTTAAAATCAACTTATAGTAATTTTATTTAAACTGCAATATAAAAAGGTTAAAGATTTAAAATGATATGCTTACTAAAAATTACTACTAAAAGAGCTTAAAAAGAAGGTAACAACTAAATGTAAAAGCACAACTAAATGTAAAAACTAAATGTAAAAGCTTAAAAAAAAATAACAACAAATTTGGATATTATGAAAAAGACCTTTCCTCTTGCAAAGAGATTTTAATCTATGTGGGATTCAAATAATTTAAGACAAAATTGAGATATTATGACAAATAGAAGCATACCTTATTCTTTACCACCTCCCAGTGCTTGTAAAGAACATTATCTAACTTAAGGCTGATTCCTTAATATTTTGACTAAACATCAGTGTTATCTAGCCTCTCACCTCTAGATGTCCCTAGCCCATGCCATCAAAATGACTGAATCCTAGTGTCAGGGTACTAAGTCTTAAGCCAAACTGATAAAAATCTAGCATGTTACTCTAGATGTAACCAATTCTACGCCCATCAAAACTTGTTTATTTATTTGCACTCCCCCTTAGGTGATCGCCATGACTCTGCTTAGAATGAAGTGTGGTGTCCACTAGTTGGGTGAAATCATAGCCCTCCTAGGTCATTATGTTTCTCAACAAATTTTAACCTTACACGTGTTAGTTTGCAAATTAAATAAAGATCCAGTGAAAATACCATCGCAATTTTTAAAAGTAAAAAAAAAAATCTTTAAATCATTCTCATCCCACAAGGTTAAGTTCCATATGTAAGAAGAAAGAAAGTGAACTACTCAGACTTCATGGAGAATAAATAAAAACAAAACATTTGCTTTGAAATCCAATTCTTACAACAAAAACTCAAACACAAATACATAGTACCTTATGTTTTCTCCCCAAGCAAACTTCTGGAGTTTCCTCTAAGAAATTTCTAAACTTCTTCACACTAAAACACACTCACACTTACACTTGAACACAAAATATGTAAAACCTAACTTACTCTTGCCACCCAATTGAAGTTTTTAGGCTCCAAAAGGTCTCTAAATTCCGTCAAATCCTTCTCATTAAATAAAAAATAACCAAGGTTTGCTTTAAACACTTCTCCAAAATTTGACCAAATTTGGTATTTTTTCTATAAAAGTAGTTACTAGCGCTATAGCGCCCTTCTGGCCCGTCGGTGGCACTATGTCGCCAAGGGGTGGCGTTATAGTGCCACACAAAAATTACCATTTTTACTCAATTTTTTCCTCATTTTCTCTAAATGTCCATTCCATGTATCTGAAATAAAAAACATGCAAAATAATTTTCTTTAAAGTGCAATATCATCAAAAATGTATATAAAAAAAACTTATAAAACATGCACTAAAAACATGTTATTTTGAGGTGGATCAAGCAGCCAACTCTGCCATGCCTCAAAGCCTCTAATTCTACTTGGAGCTCCTTCATCTTCGCCTCTTGATACATATCAACTGCCTGGGAAAAGAAGTCCAATGTATCCTCTAATTGGTAGGAAAATGATGGTCGGTTGTTGGTTGCCATCTTAGGGTCTTTTTGGGGACTGACTAGGATGTTGACTGCGTTGTCCTTACACCGCACCAAAGACAGAGTTTCCTTGGCCACTCAAAGAATGGGGTTCTGACCGATTGTTGACATCGACGAACCAATGATCGGTACTGCCTTATCTGCATTAATAAGCAAACATCAATATCTCACTAGGCAGTGGAGGCATGCTAACAGTTTCTCTACCAGCGGTCAATAGCTAAATTGTAGCCTCCCTTTCATATGGAAGTGGAGCCTGGGTGTTCCATATCCAGATTGCTTGGCCAGCTGATCGCAAGTCATAATAAAAGAATTGATTGGCACACCGACATACGGATTGCCCAACTTGCCTCCCTCCTTTTATCAGAGAAGTGTCAGCGAGTCATTCAAAATAAAATCATCCCTGGGATCTTCCACCCTTTTTTTCTTGTAATCGAGTTGCTTAACTCGCCTTTCACCCCCAGGTCGGTTACCTTCTCCAAGCTTCTTCATTTGCCATATTTTATCTTCTCATGCTTCGTCTGACTTTCTTCTCACAAACTCTTTACTCCCTTAGGCTTCTTCTGGCCCTTGTGCAAATCCCTCCTTACGACCACTTTATTCCCTTGGGCCTCTTCTTATCTTTTTGTCGGTTACCTCCTTCCCGTATCTTTTCTCTCAAAGTCCTCAGAGAGGATCAGGACACAATGATCCTATTGGCTTTTATTATCAATTCCTCAGCAAGGACATCCTCTGTACGTTTCTCACTTCTTGCCATGAAATCCCTATTGAAATCAACTGACTGAGAGGCACACTCAAAAATAAATGTGAATAATTAAAGCACCACAAAAAACCTATTTATAGAGATTATATGGACATAAATTCAAAGAATAAAATAGATAAAGTACTAATTATGAAATAAATGAATACAAAATTTACATTTAATTCTCTTATTCATATTGTAGCTATTGCTTTTAAGATGTAAGAGAATCAAGAAAGTAAAATATATGCATAAAAAACACATCAGTAGAAATCTTGAGGAAATCTAAGGGATTAAGAGACATAAAAGTAAGGTCAGGGAGGGCTCACTAAATGATGCTGAAAAATCCCATCTTCAGGAGATCAGAAGATGTCTGACCAAGTAAAGCTCCCTTAGGTCAGGAACTGAAACCAACAGTACCCAGACCATCCATACAAAGACTAGTATTTATAGAACCAAAAAAATTCATCTTTCTAACTCTAGTCCTAGAATCGACATCCATTTTATATGAATCTCTGAGACTCTTCATCAGAAGATTGATGGTTATAACCATGATATAATTTAAGAACACCGCAAAGAACCTTTTTTTAAGGGGAGAGCGACCAACCAGATTACAGTGATTTACTATACCAGTCTCATCATTACGATAGGAGCTCCGCATTTTAGGGTTAATAGCCCACAATCGCACCAGAGCATTCAACCGATGAAACCAATCCAACCAAACCAAATTCGGTTGAACCAATGATCATCAGGAGCCGATCGACAACCCAAATCAGCGTAGTCCGTCAAGCAAGCTTTGCCAATCCAAGGCCCATTTATCTCGGTCGACTGAACGATAGGTTAACCTAGCCATTGACTCATTTATGTAAGTACCTAAAATACCTTGTACTACTCTCATTAAAACAGAGATAAACATATAATTATACATATTGTACCAACTAGAGGACCATTCCATGAATAAAATTTACACAACTCTCTCATTATAATGTTTAATAATGTGCTCTCCCTCTCTCTCTCTCTCTCTCTCACACACACACACACACACACACACACACTTATGTTTTATGTTCTATTCCTTGGGTATGACTCCAAGACAAAATTGGATTTACTAACAAGATTCAAATGATTCATTCTGAGTTAATAATATGTGATTTCGGGAGTCATTCAAACCCTTTAGTATACAAAATAATAATAATAATAGTAATTAAAATAATGATAATAATAAAAGTGGAATCCACATATATTTATATATCTCATATAGTTCTTATATATTTAATTACCTAACATCTAATTTTTTATATTTAAACTTTAAAGTGAAATACACTTTTTCAATACATAAATAAAAAAAATATTATTCAGATATTAGAAACATAACCACATAAAAACTATGATATGAATGTAAATTTTACAAGCTATCACTTAATTGGTGCTTGATGGATGAAATTGATATAGACTTGGTAGAGTTGAGCTAGCGGAGATGAGCTATTGAGTCCAAAACATCAATAGAAGACTTCTTCAACAACCAAATACCTCATAACGAAATACAAATAATCATTATCAACAAAACCATTGGCACCAATATCCATTCAACTCTAAGCTAATCAGCCATCGCCGGCCGGCCGCCACAGCAGCGTTCTTGTTCGCTGAGATTCGCCATCCCAGTCGAAAATCCCATGGACGGCCGGCGAAGAGGAGCTCTGCAACTCCTCAAACCCAGTGAACAGAACCTCATCCTCTCCAACAACTTCCATGTCCTCCACCAAAAGCATATCCAAATCTTCATCTTCTTCCTCCACCTCCTCCTCCTCCTCCGTCCTAACTTCCTTCTTCTTCTTTCGCGGCCGCAAAAGCTCCTCCTCCATGCCAGCCGTCAGTGGTGTGTTCGGAGAAAGACGAACACTTCCTTCTCCCGCAGAGGTCGACGGTTCCGGCGGAATCCCACCGCCTACCTCCGTTCCTCCGGCCTGAAATTTCTGCCGCGTACTTCCGGCGAGAGAGTTGCGGTGGGTGGGAAGTGGGTGGTTGTGCTCGCCGGTGTAAGTTATTACAAACATTCCCTGATCAGTCCTGCTACGCTCCACTTGCTTCCGAGCTAAACACCCCTTCGAGCTGCTGCAGCGGTAATATCCCCTGTTCTATAAAAGATCAATCTTTTCCCCCAATTTAATTTTCTCCGAAACAGAGTAAGTAAGTCCAGCTTATTTACCGTGGAAAAGGAGACCCCTTTATGGGTTTCTGGCCGTATTTCCGCCATGACCAAAGGTCGCCGGAGAGACCATCGGCCAGAACTTGGCAAACCCTTCGCTTCTGCTGATTCTTCCTGCGATTTGCCAGTGGCAGTCAGCAAAAAGCGTCTTTTTTTCCAAAAAGTTAGGAGGAATAACAGAAGATTTGTTAAGGGCTTGCCTTCTTCTCGAGCGGGGCAACTGTGAGCGCGGCGCAACGGTCACCGGAGCAAGGTTGAATTTCGGCTCCTGAGCTGTAGAAATGAAAGGCCTGCAGAGCTCCTCCAGCTCTTGAACAGAGTTGCTCGTGTTTATCAGATCTGCGTGGTGGGAGGGAAGCAGAGCATCTGCTGACTGAAATATGACAGATTCCCATGGAGGAGGAGGTGGAATCACGGCGAAGGAGTTTGTCCGCCCGCAGCTTCTCACCACCGCGTGCAAATCCCAGCCGTCGTCGTCATCATCTTCGTCTCCCGGCCACCACAAAGAGGACATGGATCGAAAAGAAAATGAGCAGGGGAGGAGATGACAGATGGAGGAACAAAGGAGCGGCGTTGACTTCGTTGAGAGCTCCGCAAGGGATCTTATGGGCGGCGAAGAGGTGAAAGAAGTGCGGCGCTGACTTTTTAAGCATTTTAGAGAAGATGGCTGAAATTTCAAGAAACCATCTTTATACGACCAAAGGTCGGAATGGTATTTCCTCTGCGGTCTGAGCAAATGGGCATTGGATCCCGCGGAAACGGGAATCGGAAACGGCTATACGTTTCCCCTTGACTTTTGCTATTTGTCAAAGGTGAAAAAAGTCCTCTCTTCGTCACGCGTTCCTATCTTTGGGCAACCATAAGTAAAATAAGGTTGCGATTTTTCGAAGGGATTTTTATTTTTTATTTTTGGCGAGAGTGAGATATTATGCATTTTTTTCCTTAAAAAATATTTTACTTATGATATGTTTAGAGCAGTTTGTGTGTTTCAGGATAAACAACTTATTTTAAAACGCGGCTCGCGGGTCAACCGCATGGGTCGACCCGCGACCTGCGTTTAGTGTAAAAAACTCAAATGCGGCAGACAACATTTTCAAAAATGCAGCCGCACTTATAAACTGCCCCCAACGAGCCCTTATTCAGAGACATAAAAAAAATATTTGTCAAGGGCTCTTATTTACCAGAACATTTAATTAAGGTTAATATTATAATGTAAAATAATTGTTGGACATAATTTAAATAGCATAAGAAAAAGATAATAAAAGCATTTGTACTAATTAAATATATATTGTTCTAATTCCGGGCATATTACTCTCCAATATTTTCTTATTGTGATTCTAAATTAAAATTTTGTCATATAATTATTTTTCAAAATCTTAATTTATTAATTTATTTTTTTTAATTTCTAGTTATCGGATAAAAAATTAATATTAGAACTAAGTGGTTCATAATAAATAGTGCCTTTTAAGGGATTTTTTATTTTAAATGTTTATATTCAAAGCATATTAGAAACGAATAAAAAAAACTTAGAAAATTGATTCATGATTGAACTGATCAAACCACGATATCTTTTTTTTTATCAAAGAAAATATTTTAAAATCATGAAATTCGATATTGCACGCATAAAAAAAGTATTTATTTTCACATTGTGAGAATGATCTCATAATTTTTAATATTTTATGTGCATATTTTTAAATTTTATCATTTTATTATTTCCTATGAAATACAATCCAACACAAATTGTTGTGGCTTTATTTGAATATTAAATTGAATTAAAATTAAATTCAAAATTTTAAGTATCATTTTGAAGTTCATTTGGATGATAGCTTTAATAAATTTGAAGTTCACATAATGCAGTTGAAAAAGAGCGATAAATAATATCAAATCGGTGCGATTTCGAGCAAACCAACCAAATTAGGCTCATGAATACTATTTCAAAAATTCCAAGGTCTTCTTTATTGTGAGAAAGGTTGGTTGTACGATTTAAGATTCATAGCTCATTGGTCAATCATAACTACTTTATGAGTCTGCTTGTTATCAGGAGTGCAAGTATACCTTTCAATCTTAACAAGGACCTCCAAATTATGTGTAGTTCATAGAGGAAATTTAATAGATTGAACCTCTCAAAGCCATTGTGATCTCTACATAACACAAAATTGCGACCCATTGATGATGTTAGATTGCTTTAATTAAGGAATACATTTAACCAAAAAAATTGCATAATTTGATCATTATTTTCTTTCAAAAGAATAGTTTTATAGGAAATTTTCTAAAGTCAATTAAGACCCCATGGGAGTTCAATTGGTTTTGATTTGTGATCGTGGAGGGATAAGTTTCTCCCATCAAGATGGCATTGCTCAATGTTCTCACAGTACATCAGAATATAACTACATGAATCTCAAGGAGATTCAACAGATCACGAGAAAAGATCAGCAGAAAATGGAATCAACTAGCGATATTTCAGTCGGACGAATCATCAATCGACTGAATGAACATTTGTCAAACAAAAGAACGACATGCACCTAAAATGCCAACTAAACCATACAAAAACATTCACAAGGTCAATGGTCACTTAATGGAAGGAAGGTTGTCTATCAGATTATAGTGACGCATCCTCCATTTGATAGAATAACTCATCCTAGAGAATAACACCCTAAAAAAAATTGGCCGAGCATCTATCAGCCGGTCGAATGATTATAGTTGACCGTCCAAAAGCCAAATGACCAGACCAAGTAGTTATGAATGTTAAATGGCACCATGGACAGTTACAGACATGGAATGGTGCCAATGATGATTATTAGTGTCAAATGCGCCAAAGTTAGTTACAAATATGTAAGTATGTTCATAATTATATTATAGCGTTCATATTAAATGAGGGACAATCATGTTATTCATTAGGTCATTCCTATGATCTATAAATAATATGATCATTTCTACAGGAAGGACTTCTAAATCCATTCACATAAATTTAGTGTTATTTATGCTTGCCTTTCTATACTTATCTCTTTTCCTATTCCTCTCATCCGACCAACACAGTATTTCTTGGGTGTGATCTAAAGAATATTTTGGGATTCAACATCCTAAAAGGTGCGGTGAGCATGGAGTCATGCCTTTAACAAGATGAGGTGCACGTAATAGAGAGAAAACAACCAGAGGAGAGACTTCTAACATGGAGTATGTAAAGGAATTTATGCAACAACAAATTTAAGAGCTCCATGATCGGATGGTTGGTCATTGCAGAACTGACTCGGGGGTTACTGTAGGGTGGTGCACATCCTCTCCACACAGCCTAATCCTCTAAAACCCAAACCTCAAGACCAACAGACAAATCAAGGAGCCAAGTAGATGAAAGAGTGCCAAAACCTAAGATAGTGTTGGATTTGTGTTGAGAAGCAGGCTACAAGCTGCGTGAATTGAACCACAAAAGGGGAAAATCAAAGTTTATCATCGATTGGAGAATGCGTTCTCCTGGCACATCGTTGAAGCTGAACTCCCAGAAGATTTTAAGGTTCCCACCCAAGAACCATGTAAAGGCCGGAGCGATCTGGCCGACCATATTGCATCCTTTGAGTAGGTCATATGCATGCTCAAAATTTTTAACACAATAAAAAGTTGATTGTTCTACACCACCCTAAGAGATTTGGCTCTTAGATGGTTCAATAGACTCCCTGTTGGGATTATAAATTCCTTTGGAGAGTTCGAGAAGCTATTTACAACACAGTTTGCTGGTGCCCAGAAACCCTGCAAGAATTCAGAATCCTAGCTATTTATAAAATAGGGACTGAACGAGAGCCTGCGTGCATACACTACACGATTCCATAAGGAGATACTCGAGGTGAGAAACCTAGAGCTAGAAATTACTAAAGCTGCCCTAGCGCAAGAGCTAACATATGTGTGTTCCAACTTAAAATTACATATTTTTTATGTACATCTTATGCTTAATTTTTTAGGATATTATACTTTAATGAAGGGTATTTCTATGTTTTTGGTTGTAGGTGCAAGAAAAAGAGTTTAAGAGTAAAAAGGAGCAAAAATACATCAAAAAGGAGTAAAATGGGCTAAATTGAAGAAAAGTACCAAACCAGCCGAGATAGCGCCTAGATGCAGAAATTGGCTGGCGCCTAGGCCATCTAGGTCCCATAGTTATCTTCTAGAAGATTCATTGAATGAGACTGAATTTTGAAGAAATGTCTGTAGCAACCCTTGGTCATTTTTGAAACTCTATAAATATAGATTAATTCCAAGAGGCTAGGGGGTCAGATCTATAGAATCTCATAGTGTGTGAGTGTGTTAAGTGTGTGAGAAGTTTTCTTTATGAGTTTTTATTATTTCTAGAGCTTGCGAGTCTTATATGTGCCGTTGGAGTCAGAGAAGTCAAAGAATTTCAAAGGAGTGCTTGGGGGAACATTCATGATAAGTATTTGTATCTTGTCTTTAAGTTTTGTACTTTGGATTGGAGTTTTATAAATATGTTTTGTTTTGTTATCCCCATGCATTTTGAGTAGTTTTCTCTCTTTCTCATTGCAATATGAAGTAATTAAGTAAGTGATTTTGATTTTGTTTATAACTTTTTTTTTTAATTCCTAAAAAGTGTGATGTTATTTTTACTGGATCTTCATTTACTTTACAAATTGGCCACTTGTATTGTTAAAATTTGTTGAGGAAACTTATAGACCTGAGAGGGCTAATAATTTTTAACTTGTAAGTATCACAAGAGCAGTGGAGATCATCCAAAGGGGGGGTGCAAATAGATAGGGAGATAAGATTTGATGGACTTAGAATTGATGTATCTAGAGTGACAGGCTAGATTCTTTTATCAATTTGTTCTAGAGATTGGAACTAAGGGTCACTGGTAGGTCCTATAGAGAGGGCACAGTGGGTAGTCTAGGAGTGAGAGACTAGAACCTACCCAGCACTACTATACATGCTGACACCAACTTTAGATTATTCAATGTTCTTTACACAATTCAAAAGAAGTAAAGAATATGTATGCTCCTATTTTTCACAATACCACATTTAAGTTTCTAAACAATTTTGAAATCTTATACTGATAATGAATTATTGGCAAGGAAAATGTCTCTTTTTATATATTGTATAAGTCATTTCATTTACTTTTACTTGCATTTTGTAGAATTTAGTAAACTTAATTTTCATCTTTAGATATTTACTATTATCTTAAGTAAAGTTCTATTAAAGTTAAAATTTTTGCATTTCATTTTATTGTTATTTCTAGAGTTTGTGAGTCTTGTAAGTGTGTTTGGAGTCAAAGAAGTTAGAAAACTTCAAAGAAGTGCTTGGGAGAACATTCCAGATAAGTATTTGTATCTTTGTCCTCAAGTTTTGTACTTTGGATTGAAGTTTTATAAATATGTTTTGTTTTGTTATCTCCATGCTTCGTGAGTAGTTTTATTTTATTTCTCCTTGCAATATGAAGTAATTAGGTAAATGATTTTGATTTTTTTAGAACTTATTTTATTCCTAAAAATTGTGATGATATTTCACTCGGTCCTTCATTTACTTTACAAATTGGTCACTTGTATTGTTAAAACCTGTTGAGGAACTTACATACCCGAAAGGGCTAATATTTCTTGACTTGTAAGCATCACATTCTACCTTCGAAAGAGTAGTCACGGTCGTCTAAAGGGGGTGCAAATAAGTCGGGAGGTAATATTTGATGGACGTAGAATTGATGATTCTAGAGTAACAGAC